TTTTTTTTTTTTTAAGTTTATTTATTTATTTTGAGAGAGAGAGACAGAGAGAGAAGCAGAGAGAGAGAGAGAGAGAGAGAGAGAGACAGGGAGAGAGAGAGAGAGAATTCCAAGCAGGCTCTGCCCTGTCAATGCAGAGCCCAGTGTGGGACTCAAACTCAGGAACCGTTCGTAAGATCATGACCTGAGTCGAAATCAAGAATTGAAGGCTTAACTGACTGAGCCACCCAGGTGCCCCCTTCTTTAATTCTTTAGTTAGGGTTTTCTATCATTCCCTGAACACATTTATAACAGCTGATATACACATTTTTGTCTAGTAATTCCAATAGTTGGGTTTTCTCATGTAGAGTTTCTATTCACTGCTGTTGTTCCTGTGTGTGGGGACTGCTATTTTGTATCTTTGCATGGCTGACCATTATTATTTTGTGAAAAACTTGATATTTTAAAGAATAGAATGTGGCACCTTTGAAAATCTGGCTGTCTTGTCCCCAGTCTGTTGTTGTTGTCACTGTTTGTTTCTTTATTGACTTTATGGACTCTCCTGGACTAATTCTGTAGAATTGCCTTTCCTGTGGTGTGCACAGCTGGAGTTTCTCGTTAGTTTCATGGTCAGCTAACAATTGCCTAGAGATTTCCTTAATTCTCTGAACCAGTAAGTCTTACACCCTTCACCTAGGGGATGGTATGTTGGCTGGAGTACCTGACGGCTCAGGAAGTTTTCAGGACTGCCTTAGCCTTTATTTACTGATTGTGCGAGGCCCTGAGTTCAGACAAAGTAAAAGATCAGGGCATTTTAGGTCTTTCCTGGGCATGTGCACAGCTCTGTACATATGCATGACTTTTAGAGCCCCAGGGGATCACGATTTTACAACACCCTCTGTGGATATCTATCTCATTCCTCAGATCTTTAATTTTTTTGGCCAACCTCTTGTTTATCTCAACGAGTACCATTGTCTCAGGCATCTGTGAAGCTAATTGTTACTGCTCGTTTTTTTCTAATAAATGCTTTGGTGATAGGGGTTTTGTTTGTTTGTTTGTTTGTGTTTTTTGTTTTTTTACCCAGTGAATTCTGAGTCAAGTCAAATAAAGATAAACTCTGGATGGGGCTTTTCTAGAGAACATCACGATGAGTCAAATACTCACAATTCTCTGGGGCTTCTTGAGGGGCTCCAAAGCCAGTCTGGCTCCTGGGTGATGCTAAGCTGTGGCTGTGTTTCTCAAGGCAAACACATTGCCAAGGAGGGGACAGTGGACCTAGGGAAGTTAAAACACCACGAAATTCACTATGGTTGCCAAGATTTTAGCATTTTTTCTTTTTTTTATAATTAAAAAATTTTTAAATATTTACTTTTGAGAGAGAGGCAGAGCATAGTGGGGGAGGGGCAGAGAGAGAGGGAGACACAGTATCCGAAGTAGGCTCCAGGCTCTGAGCTGTCAGCACAGAGCCCGACATGGGGCTTGAACTCACAGACTGCGAGATCATGACCTGAGCTGAAGTTGGATGCTCAACTGAGTGAGCCACTCAGGTGCCCCTTAGCATTTCTTCTTAAATAAAGAAACACTACTTGGATTCTTGCAAGCTTTGGGTAATGTCCAGAGTCCTGAAAAATTGATATTGACAAGTTTTCAATTGCTTTTTACAAAGAAGCAGATTGTCAGAGGTCCTTACTTTATAGAAATTTCTTCCTTATAGAAATCCCTTCGTCTTTTTATTTTATTTATTTTCAAAAATTTTTTAATTAAAACATTTTTTTATTTAATTTTTTTAATTTAATTTTTTATTTTTTTAAATTTACATCCAAATTAGCATATAGTGCAACAATGATTTCAGGAGTAGATTCCTTAGTGCCCCTTACACATTTAGCCCACCCCCCCTCCCCCAAACTCTCCAGCAACCCTCAGTTTGGTCTCCA